ACTGTATTCTCAACCTTTCTCAGGCTTAAATTGAAGATAAACCAGAACACTTTTGGGTTTGGCAAAATTTCTGAGAGTTGGTGATCCGTCTAACTTAGAATTTTCATTCTAGAATTCTCCTTTGATGTCTCCTTTTCCAACACTCTTATTTCTATAGATGAGTCAATAGGAGCTAGGGAAGTTACATATCATTTTCAGGGTGAAGTAGCTATTTAGCAACAGATCCCACCCCAACCCACCTTATCCTCAGGTTCCCCAAGCTTTCTTTAAGATCCTAAGGGATTGCTTTCTCCAATATGAAAATTTCTTTTTACTTAAAAATCTGTACTCCAGAAAAGGTTTATTAGTTCTTATCCAAATTTGAAGCCTAAAATTCTATGAGCGGAGTTGTGGTTTGGAAGTGGTAAGAAACCAATCCCAAACACATAGATCCACAAGAAGAATATTATTACTTAGACTCATTGTGTTTAGAATCATTCTGTTTTTTATAAAAACATATAACAATTTTTAAAATAACATTTAAATCTGAAGAACACTGTGAAATTTCCAGGTCTCATTGGACATATTTCATAGCTCAAGAGAAAGTGGAAGAGGACAGATCCACTCCTGTGCCATCTTTCTAAGGTAAACTATCAGGTGTTCTGAATGCTCTTTAGGAAAAGAGACAAGAGGAAGTGTTTAAACATCCTTAGAATTCCTTTTGTGCTGACCCTTTTGTTAAAATCAATGCATCTCTCATCAAAACAGAGCTTTTAAAAATAATCTCTTAGCTATGCTTATTATATGTATTTTTTGTTATTTAAAAAAAGTACAAATATATATGAAATTAATGTAATCAAAATAGAGTTTTTCCCCTCTCTAAGTAGATAATAATATAAATATTTCACTTGGTATTTGCAACTCAACCACTAATGATTCTCTATTTCAAGTTTACTGATCTCTCTTATTTATTCTGCTAAATACCTATTGAACATAAAACTTCATCCGCATTCTCTCAGCTGTAATCACTTAAAGTATTTTCTCCTAAAATATTTTAGCAGCCTCTAAATTGGTTGGCCTTCCAGGGTCTTTCATTTTCCATGCTGTTGTCAAATCTAATAATAGCACTTTACCAACTAAACACCATCAATGGCTCCCTATGACCGAAAGGATAAATTCCAAATTACTTAGCATACAAGCACTCTGACAATCTGGCCCCAGTTTGCCCTTATTCATCTACTGTCATTATCTCCCTCTAATAAGACTTCCAGTCATAGCCAAATGGTGTAAACCCCATGCTATATCAAGAAGCAATTATATCTTTGCACAGGCTATTCCCTCTGTGAGAAGAATCCTTCCTACGTTTCCCCATATGGAGAGCTTGTATTATGTCTCAGACTTCTCAAAGAAATACTTCCCCAAAGGCTTACCTACTGCAACCTGCATTTTTTTACAATGTTTCATATACCTCTAACCCCAATCTGATTCACATCTTTACCGGCAAATCAGTTTTTCCAATTAAACTGAAGTGTTTTAAAGACAGGGACCTATACATCTGATAACTCCAGGGCCTAGCATAACTTGTAGCATGGGGGAGGGGGAACCAGTAAATGTTTTTTTAATGAATAAGTGAATGAGTGAATGAGTGAATGAATAGGTAGATCTTAAGAGAAGAAATCAGAGAAATTTTAAAAATAAACCAATGAAATTTTGATTTAAAATAAATGGATTCAGTTATCCAGCACCATGCATAATATGCTATGATATTAAATTATTATAATTATATTTTATAGTATTATAGAATTATTTGAGTGAAAGGCCAATAGAATAATATACACAGGCACTGAGGAGAGGTCTATATGACTAAGATTGGAGCTTCACATTCCTATACTTCCAAATTAACTAATGTTTTATTTTATTTTTATTTTGTTTTGCAATGTAGTGTTTGGACTTGGTAGGAAAATGGGGGTAGCAAGAAAAGATGATGGAAATTCTCAAGCAAGTTGCAAGTCCCATGTACCTCAAAAGTAACCTGACCTATATTTTAGGGAACAGAATTCAGAACCTTCAGACGTTCTTTGACCAGACAAATAATCCTGTATAATAAAAGGCCAGTGACCATAACGGCATAATGGCCAGAACGACCGATCGAACAGTTTCTATGAGGTGCATTGACCACCTTTCTGTCCCTCCCCACAGCCGGAAGGCTCCAATCGCTGAATGGCCAATGGGGAACCACGGGGAACTGGGGCAGGTGTCAGTGCTGGGGCGGGACTAGGGACTGGCGAATGGGCAGATGATGGCCCCAATCACTGGCTAGGTCTAGGGACCCTACCCATGTACAATTTCATGTGCTGGGCCTCTGGTAATAAAAGAATGCTTCATTTATGCAATTAATGCATGGTGTAAATCAGAACATATTTGGGGAGAAAGCTTTCTGTAATGAAAAGTGCAATACATAGTTTAATTTTTCTCCCTTATTAAAATTTGACTTATAAAAAAGGATCATAATTCTGAAATTCTTTATACATCCTTCATATTCCCAAATTACTTATTTCAGGATTGACATATCCCATTCTTTTGATTAGCTGTGGCTCCAGTTTTAATATATAGAATAAATAAGAACAATAATACTATTTTAGTTAAAAGAATAGTCAGTGACCAAACTAATAGACAAGTTATTTTAACATATCTTATTTTCCACCTCCAAATCACATCTAGAAAACAGTAGCATTCTCTGTGTCTTTATGGGGCAAATGCAAGAAGCAGAAAAATCCTATTTCTCTCTATAAATATGGAAAATAAATGGCTTTTTTCCCCATTGGATGTGGAGTTGACATAATTTAGGCTGCCTACAATTAGTAGCACATTAGTAACTACCAAGTAATTATTGGCTTTCATTCAGATGCTGGCAGATGCCTGATAAGACACTTAATGAATTTTTCATTAGTCTTCTTCTGAAAACCTTTAGGAGAAAATATTTATAAAGGCAGCAACTCTCTTACTTTTCTTTCCCACCCCCAATCCTTAAGCCTCAAAGCATTTTCAAAATCAAATTTTAAAATGTTAACATCATACCTGCATATCTGTCAGCTAAATATTTCACTCTTTAATAGATTTAGTATCATGTTCTCTTGCTATATATGACCCTCTACCCAAAGTCACCACCAATTCTATAATTAAGGAACACTTCATGTACATGCATTTAATTTTGTATTAAGATTTCAAAACAATAGTCACCTACATATCTGACATAATTTTTAAATAATGAGTAGGGGTGAATCAATAGTTTCTAATAGACATTTTTAACTACAGTTTTTGTTACTCCAACACTAAGGTTTAAATGAAAACAGGCAAATACTTGCTGGTTTGATATCTGCCAAGAAATTATTTACCTTTAATTGTACAGTAAAATTTTGGCACAAAGTAATACATTCACAACACCTAGTACTGTATATAGCGGCTAAAAATAGACAGGTTCATGGTTATCTAAGGAAAATACTGATTGCCACAGTAAAACTTCCAATAATATCATCGAGGTATGTTGCAGAACATTACATTACTGTCTTTGCAGGATATATAACTGGTGCACACACTAAGTGTGATTTGGAGTTGTCAACATTGCTTTGGCTGTAATTAAAATCCTAAAGTGATCTTTAAATCGTTCTGCACTCCAATTGCATCCCGATGAGTTTCTTTGTAATTGGGAATGCCAGCACCCAAAGGTGTGACTCATTCAACTACACTTGTCAAACCTCAAGCTTCTTACCCTTAAAAAAGCACCTCTAAAAGCTGTCAGCATGTTTAGTCAGAGGATATAGCTGTTGAAATATTAGCTGAAAGGGACTTGGGAGAAATTATGAAATGGTGTGACTTATTAAGATTTATTAATTAGCTAATTAATTAATTGATTCTAATTATTTATTTAGTGCACCCATCCTTCTCAGGACACCATACATTTCCAGGCCTCACCTCTCTTCCTCACCTTTCCTGCTCCTGGACTTTTGTTCTAAGGTTACTGCAGAGAAGAAAACAATCTGATAAGCTAAACCACACCAATGTGTAGGCTTTCTTTGGGGCCTCCCTGTGAAAGTTGTACTTTAGGAGATATTTGAAGATGAAAAGGTGACAATAGGTCATTAATTAAAGATTAATAAAAACTGATTTCTTTACTTAGAAAAAAATCTAATCCTTAAAAAGCCACCTACATATTTTGATTGTTCATTTGAATTGTCTGTGGTTTCTGTCATGTAATTGCCATCTTCATCTCTACCCCTTTCCTCTTCATTCTGTCATTCTCTATTGCCCCTCCAAGCCCTCCCATCCTCAGCTATGTTTTCTCTGATCTCTAATTCTAGTGTTAACTCCCTCATATGCTCTTCCTTCAAATATTTTATACTTAGAGCTTTTAATCTACTCTGCAGTACAAAATATAGAAAAAAGTATCTGCCAAATTATATTCATTCATATTTAAATTATGAACATTTCTTAATGTTAGTCCAATTTGAAAGTTGTTTCCACATTAATTTTTGTTGCCATTGTTTATTAGATAACAATCAATTTAATCATGTTTTAATATAACTGATCACATTTAAATAATATTGCTTAAGTTTCTTTGAAGAACTGTACTTTTACTTAGTGTTTTAAGAAAACTCAACCTTATTAGATTGTAATAAAAGCCTTATGTTTACAAGCAAATATTCTTGTTTAAATTCAATTAGCATACATGTTTATGTTAACTTATATTTTGTCCATTTATATATAAAAACTACTTAGAAAAGTACAATTAGAGAAAACCTAGAGTGTCAAAATTATTTTTATTCATGATTATAGAAGTTTTCAATAAATATATCTGATTTCTCATTTAGCAATATTATCATAAATGAGTATGATAATTAACACTAAATTGGGAAATATATTTGATGAAAGTATATGTAATGAATATATATATATATACATATTTTTTCTAAAATATTTTATGAAGTGGCAAAATACTGAATCATCTGTGCTATTGTACCAACCTTTATGTCTATGAGATCCATCCATGTTGCTAAATTCAATGTGATTCTCATCAGCCCAGTAGAGTCTATGGTTGACATAATCTATAGTCAGTGCCATAGGTCTGGAAATCCTGGTGTCTATGACAACACTCTGATTGGTTCCATCCATTCCAACCCGGCCAATGTGCGGATACTCACAGCAGTCAATCCAATACAAATACCTGGGAAAGAAAGCCAATAGCCATTTTGTTTACAGACACTTAAGGAGTAAAAGCTCACACACTATTTCACGTCTGTGCTCAACTATCCCCAATTAAATTTTGGTATTTCTCTGAACTGTAGCTTCTAAGAAGCACACGTCAAGGGAAAGTTTTCTAATGATTTTTTCATACTTTTAAATGTCCATATAATTTTAAACATGTTTTCTTTAATATACAAACTCACATATAATATATATTGTTAACACATGTAAACCTTCAAAATCCATCTATAATGTTAGATAGTAAAATTTTCCAGATATACGATTTTCTTTCGGTATGTCATTTATGAAAAATTCTAAATGAATTATAGAGGAGTGCATTATATTTGCTTAACTCTGCAATTGTCCAATGTGTTAGCCACTAGCTAATTGTGGCTCTTAAAATTTAAATTAATTAAAGATAAGTAAGATTAAATGGACTGCATTGCACCTCAGTCACACCAGCACATTTCTGGGGCTTGACAACCATGTGTCTGGTGGCTCCATATCCAATAGCATAGATCTAGAGCACTTACAACATCACAGAAAGTTCTATTGGGCAGCACTGATTTAAATTATGTTATTGGAAAGTCTGGTGTAGAATATATATATATATTATATATATATATATATATATATATATATATATACACACACTGTGTGCAA